ATTAAACATCATGAAATATCGTTTTTAAATGTGTATTGTTGTTGATTTGTGTCTTTTTAGTGTCAAGAACATTCGTTAGACCACAGTGACGTACTGCGCTCGTTACCTTAAGTGGGCTTTTTTTTCTAGTAGTTTATTATCCTTCTCGTGGGTTTTGCTCTATTGTTCGGTATTTACGAATGCATCACTTGGAAGAAGTTGTTCGTGCTTCTCATAGATAGTTCCTCATCAAAGGGCAGCTGATACATAGCTGGGTAGGGAGGTGCCCCTGAGTGCTCAAAAGTGTGACCATTTTATACCTGGATAGTGGTAAAATTTATACCAAAGTACAATTTCTGTCATCACTGCTTATTGCAAATAAAACAGTCACCGTATTTACCTATTACTCTGTTAGAAGAGCATCTCCAATAGAAGCACATGTGTGCCAACAGTTGCATTGTATATTGATTTATTAAAATATGCATATTGAGCGTTGAAACACCTCTGGCACTTATATAAGTATACCTATCTTGACCAGAAATAAGATAATCCAAAAAAAAATAGACCCATTTCAGTTCTATATATTGCCCCCGGGTTGTAGTCGTGATACCATCTATATAATTCCACTCATTACGGGCAATGTGATTACGTGATTACCAGGTATCAAAGCTCATCGGCATGACTTGCAACAGTCGGATTACAAAATACAGAAATATTTATAAACTATAATATAAATAATATATAATAAAATACAGTATGTGTTTATTGGCATGATATGCGCCCTTGATATAGGGGTTGTTGATATTAAATGACTTCATAGCATTGAGTGGAACCCCAACAAACAGGTGAACACAATTCCCAAAACTCAAATTGTTGATTTTTTTATATACACCACATGTTAAATACAATTATGAGAAGGACTGTAAGGAAAAAATCATGATTGTAATGTTTTGTACTCAATTTATTGTTTACTTGTGTCCAAATACGTGATACATTGTGTCCAAATACGTGATACATTGTATCCAATGCGTCAAAACTTGTAAAAGTTCATATAGGTATTAACATAATACAATTAATTTTCTATTGACTATCTAATGGTTAATGCAAAGTACAATGTCACATAATAAGGGTTTCTCTGGGAAATTGAATACGTACTTTAAAATAAATTTAATTTCTATTGGCAAGCAATAAATTTATCGATGTTTAGTTAACTAGAAAATATTCTACCAAATGACCGTATCTCTAATATCATTTTGGGTTCGAGGTTAATAGAATATGCCATGTATATAATCTTAATTCAAGCCTACGCAGTTCTCCTCGTTCAATCAGAATATTTTTTGCAGGGTATTATGTAAACTTGATCCCATGCTACCAAGTCTGAAACTCAAATTTGAGAGCTAGGATGAACCCCGAAGGCTTGAATTCACAAAGTAGACGGTGAGATAGACAGACCATTGAGCTATCTGGAACAGATGGTTATGATTGGCTTATGAGCTATATGATTGTCATGAATATTCATAAATTAGCAGTTATTTCGTAATGAACCTTTCTGCCTTTCAGTTTGTAATAATAGCTATAAATCCAGAAAGGTAAACGATCACAGACACGTGTAGCGTATTTCCGCATTGAATAATTAAAGCAAGGGCAGACTTCCTTTCCAATCCAGATTTTTAAAGAATTGTTGACAGAATGCGAAAATAACTTAAAATATAAAAAAGCTACCCCAACTGGTATCTAACAAAGCGTTGGGTAATGAGGTTTATACTTGGTAAAAGGTCGGGATTATAATCTAAGAAAGTCCTCGTATGAGGGATTTATCATACCCAATATATACATACAAGTCACATGTAACATCACAATAGTATTACATACGTGATAGCTAGTGTAAAACATACATTCTTCAATGTACGCACTCAAGGTCACAGCGACATGTAGAAATAGAATAATAATAATAGGAATAATTACAAAATGAATATACTTATTCTTTATACAGAAGGAAAAATAATTTGCATTAGGCATTGTCAATTTAGATCACGACAAACCGGAGACAATACAACATACAATACAATACAACACATCTCGTAATTATCGTGTAGTTCGAAGTAGAAAAGTACACATCAAGTACTTATTTAAATATTTATTTATTTATTTACAAACGTTCGGCCCGATTGTTTGTTTTTCATCGGTTCACGCAATAAATGAATGACCATTTAGTAAAAGGGGATAGGTATGGTGATTTATCACATGTATAATGCACTTTCCCTGTAATAACACTCGTGTGATATTTTTGGCATCACTTTGAAAGTGATGTCACACTTTAAGTCTATGATGTGATTGGCCAATACAACTAATTTCACCTTTGACCTAATCAGCAAAGTTAGTACTAAATTATGCAACACTTATGATGAGGCACATTTTAATGACAAATTATGTAGAAATTATTAAATATTATACTTATTATATTTTTAGATGCTATATAATGTCTGATTTTATCGCTGTTGAATAAACAAAATGTTAAAGATCACAGTCTCAATTCTCCGAACCCGAAAATAGTTCGGGCATGACAATGTTTCGTCTGCTGTCAATCATACACATGTTCATCTCAAAGTAAACAAAACATTAGCTGATCGAACGTTCGAAATCATCATATATATAGGCGACTTAGTCAATACTTTTGATATAGACGTGACAGAAATTATGAATGATAAGCCAGAAAGACCGAGTGAAGGAACGTTTACGTTTTTTCTTTCGTCAGAACTGATAAACTGAGATCATGATCACTCGGCGTATCGCATGATCACATATTACAATGGGTAAATGGCAAACAATGGTAGTTCAACAAGTCCACCGAAAAGACGTCGGATATATGTAATTGATTCCTATCAGTCATTAGATGAGAACTAAATAATAACTTTCAATCGACCTCATGGACAATGTCAATGACGTCATGGAGTGATCCCCAATAAATACTTGTAGTTCCTACAGCTTTTTGACGTATTTAATAGTTTTTACTGCTTTCGTTTTTCGCTTTAAGTGTTTAAGTTAAAAATAATGCAATTTATATTCTAACTAGTTTGGTATTTGGACTTTTATTAAAAGTTCTTTTTGATCGCTTGAAGTTTTGTCTCTTCAATGACTTTTCACTTTTACTTGTTCGACCGAATCAATGCGCCCAGTGTTTGGCTTTGATCTCAAATTCTTGACCATGTAATATCGGATTTATCAAACCCAAATTTATCCGATATCACACGGTCAGTCATTGGAGATCCTCTATTTAATTTTATAAACCACTCTTTCATAAAGCATTTAAAATTCTATTTAAAATGAGAAAACCAACAATTGAACCAACAAGACATACATAAAAGTTATTCTCAGAGTATAAATATTAATCTGTATGACTATTTGTAGAGCAGAAAGTCATATTCCATCTAGGAACCATAGAATATAATTAAGAAAAAAAGATCACGTGATTCCCGTGTGATGTGCGTACATTTCTTTAATCCACTACCTTCACTCTACCAGTTCACACTATCGATAAATGGTCATTGATCAAAACGCCTTGTTATATTGAATAAGTATCAGGGACTACGATTATAAACTACTGCGTTATATACATAAATATCATTATATTATACTCATCAGACCTAGCCGATCGGTTAAACTTTAAATAACCGAAGATAAATTTATATGTTGACATATTAAGTGACAAGAGAAGAAAAACGAGGGTATTTAGTTTACACGTATTTACAGGTAGTTATTTACAATTATATGTAGAGGGTTGTGAAAGTATTTACTATAAACAGATAGAAATTCTGAAAAACACTAGGCAGGAGCGCAAATAAATTATTGCTAAAGTTTTATGTATATGTATGTATGTAATATGTCATCTCTCATATAATATATATAATATATATAATATGCAAAATAGTCGGTCACGTGATGTGTAATAAATCACAGTATACTTCCCAGTTTAGGCAAATAACGCTTACATCCCACTCTAATAGCTCTGTGCTATGTAGGACTAACCACGCAAACATACCCTGCTGGCTGCGCATGTTGAAGGTTCAATTACGGACAGTTTACTGTGACAGTTTTGTTAATACACGTGTGTGTCGTGGGCAGCTGACACGATCGCGTCTAATCTAATCTAATCCGCGGGCACTTCTAACAGGAATTTAGAGTTATATTTATATATAATCCCAAGATGAGTGAGTGAACATGAGTGCATAGCGCCAAAGTGCTGTATCAATCCGAGCCGAAAGCGAGGATTGATGATACTCTGGCGGTATTCACCGGTAACACACAGGGCACAATTGTACACGTAAAACACACAGCCGGATTGGAAGCGTGGTAACCAGAAGACATGCAAAATTTTCTTTCAATAATAAACACGTTGAAAATAGAATACATATCTCATTGTACAGTACTGTTGTCCCAGGACTGTGTCAGGTTGTTGAACTCCGCGCAGCAGTGCAAGCTGTTGAGAGCTAGTCCATCCAAATCACCCAAATTCTAGATAACAAACAATTATTAACTGTACGCTGCGGGCTATATACCTTCAACCTTCAGTTGTAGTAGATAATTGCCTAGTGTGCTGGCTTATAACATTAGATTCAACTATTGCATGCTAATCTCGCAGTTATAATTATACTCATCAGGAGTCACACAAATTACTGTAAATGTATATACTATATACTTGTGGAAATATTTCAGTTCATACCACCATTTAATTGTTTTATATGTGTGCAGCAAATATTGGAGAATGTATTGTGCTGCTTCGTTTGCTGATAATACATATAATAGTAAGTGTAGTCGGTAACTTGTTGTATAACGTCTTAACATTAAGCACAATATAAATATCGGCTGAATTTTGGAATATTTTTGTAGAAAAAAACGTCAGCCTGCCTTTAAGACGTACCACAATTAGAAGACAATCAAACTTGACAAATTTGGCAAATTAACATTGAGAAATAATTTACTGAAGTGAAGTGAACAAAAATATTTATGAGGTATAGCGTGATTCATAATGTCTTTACTGAACTTCGTGATCCCACAGCAACCGTGCTCATCTGATAATCGCGAGGTGGAGGCTTCGACCTACAAGGAAATATGGCCAACAGGTATTTGCGGTATTTTTTCCCGACAAAAGCATACACGACTGGGTTTACACATGAGTTGATGTACGACAGGCACAGGGCGACAACCGAGAGATTCATACTGACAACAGGATTGTACGATTCATGGGTGACGAACGAATAATAAAGCGCAATGGCATGGACAGGACACCAGCAAACGATGAAGAGCACTGCAACAATAACCACCATTGCAGTAATGTGTAATTTCTTTTCCGTGGGGAATTCATTTTCAATGGTAACTACACGGCGAGTCGTCTGCTTGCCACATTTATGTGTTATTCGCTGGTTGGTGGTGCGTGACTTGCGCAGCATAGATGGTAATTGCATGCAACACACCATATGCACTATACTGGCAGTTGATGCGATGATGACGGTTACCGGTATGACGAACATAACCAATACACTGTAAACGTCGTACATCTTTGAGAGAAACGGCTTAAAAATTAACGACGAAACACATACTGGTGTTAAGTAGTATGGATCGATCATAACTTCTGTGTACACAGCTATTGGTATGTGCATTAAGAAGGAAGCTGCAATTATAAATAAAACAAATATAACATTAATAAGTTCGAACATATTTTATGTAGAGTTTTGTTAACCTGACGTGAAAATCAATAGTATTTAATCCACCAGACATACGCAATATAACATACATCAACATTAATGTTTTTTTTCAAGATAATGTCTTATCTTTACATTCAAGCTTATCTACGGCGGATGACCTACGCAGGTGATTGTTTGTTCTATGTAGAAGGTCCCTTCAGAAATCGTCAAATTCCAATCGTTTAATATATGGTGGGTACTACAGATAGGGCAGAATATGCTCACTTTTGTTTTGCAAACACCTTGCAAACTGTTTGTTGTTCATTTGAATGTTACGTAATCTTTTCTTTCGTGTAGTACATTAATTTACTAGTATGTACTAATGTACACATTGAACTATGTATGTGTGTAAATGTATTTTGTCCCATGTACATATACAAATGAACACCCCAACAGAGGTGGACATATAGTTTTAGCAAACAAATCAGTTCACGAGTATTGCCGCGTATCTTGTTACCCTGACAAGTTATTCACGTAAATCAGGTAAATTGAGGAGGAAGGTACCCGGATGGAGGTTGACATACAATTATGGCAAGAGGTAGACATACAAAAATGTCAACCTCTAATACGGTAATCTGATTGGCTGTCATGATCATGAGGTATAATAAATGTTATATGTGTATTGTACTTTGTTGTTGAAATTCCCATAAGACTGTTGATATTTGGTTAATGGATTGTTTGTCAGTACTTCAGATTATACTTAATTCTATTTGATTACACTTAATTTCCGTAACAGTTAATCAAATGCCAGTCACTGTACGCACAATAATTTTTTAGCTTAAACATTCGCAGTTTGTCAATTATACGTTGTTTAATGTTGTTGCTTGCTGTTGTGTGCCCGCGAGGTTTGTAAAATGAAAATAACACCATAACGATATCCAAACACATAATAGTCAAATACAACACAATCCTACAGTACGAATAAAAGTAAACAGGAAGTGATGTCAGATATTTCAAAAAGTGAGTCAGTGGCGGATCCAGAGGGGGGGGCGCAGGGGGGCCATGGCCTCTCCCAAACGCATGACGATTCATATCATATGGATTACGCATAGCTTCTCTGCGATTTACGCTCCGTATATATAAGCGAAGCTTGGACCCCCCCCAATACATTTTGCTGGATCCGCCACTGTAGTGAGTACATCTAGCTCAGCCTATCTCGCTTACCAGAAACTTGCAGAAAATATAATGATAACTGTTTAATAGAATAATTCAAATTTAATATGAATGTCCGGGGATTTAGCCATAGAATAACATAAAAAATATAAAAGAATATAATACAGTTGATATCACTGTCATTTCAATGGATTGTACTCATTTTTATGGCTTATATATATAACACATGGTTACGTACCTATCCAGGATATGGCAATAGCCAACACTACTGCCTTCTTTGTTCTTCTAGCGCGGGCCTTTAGTGGTTTAGAAATTACGCAATATCGGTCAAGGGTCATTATTGCTAGGGTGGAACACGTGGCTTGCACGGTGACCTGTAAATCAATAAATTATTCGTAGTATTATAATATACACTAGTCATTATTGCTAGGGTGGAACACGTGGCTTGCACGGTGACCTGTAAATCAATAAATTATTCGTAGTATTATAATATACACTTTGAACAATATAGTCACTAGTAAGTAATGTTAATTCCACACGCACAATACGATTTGATTACAATGTGACAACTATATTTCATATTTATTTTGTCTGCATAATTGAAAAACACACCATTCTGTGAACTTTTGCGATTGACATTGTTTTATATACTACATTAGAAATAATGTAAATCTTATCTCCAGCTTAAATTATTCTAAGCACGATATACTTTAAATACATTACAAAGCAATCAATATTTCACTTTGTAAATAGTTTACTTTGAGGTTACCTCACTTAATTCATCACAAATTTGCAACATTAATCGTTGCAGCAAGTTTCAAGATGTCTGTTGTTTTAATTGACAGATTTCAACTCGTATGAAACACACGGCATTATGACATAAAGTATTAATAAATCAAGCAACCGTCACATGGCGTACATTCAACCTCAAAAGGCTACAGTCTCAAGATTTTACCGACTGTATAGCTCTAGGACACCCTGCAAGCATACCAATTAAACACAAGCGACGTTTAAGTTGTCTGTTCGGCTATTTACTTGCAGATTCAACCCATTTTATATCAGTACAACGCATAGTCCATATGCATTATGAGTGTACGGGGATATATACCGACTCTGATGTATGTGATTGATATTAAAACGCCACTCTGAAAGTGTCAATGTCTCAGAATAATTTATAGCTAATCAACATGAGTAATATAAAAAAATTACTCCTGTGTCTAGGTAGGACAGATAAATATGAATTGCAATGAATCAAGGGAACTAAACATGCATAGACATGCATGCATTGAATCGTATTGCTAGGTCACAGTTATTATCTGTGTTTTAACAGACTAGACAGTGGTAACCACTAAATATGTGACACGAATAAACAATCAATCTACTGGTCGGACTAGTATTACCCAGGGTAATATGAGAACCAAAATGACTCCACTGTACAGTTGATCAATTGCGCAATAAAGGAAAACCGAACCAATCCCAATATAGGAGATTCTGCCCATATGAGTTTCCTTAGGCTTGCAAATAATGACCCAATTTTTGAATAATTTAGTATGTTTTAAATGCATAACCATATCATCATACAGTTCAGTACACTTTTTAAAATTAGCTAATGGCAACGTGACTTGTTCACGGAACTATCAAATCTGCTATACTTTCTCAGGTCGGTGAGATTCAAATTCCATTGCATTGATCATAGAAAGGTCATACGGAGATATGAAAAAGTATAATTTTGCACAATATTAATGCATCGAAGCTATATAAAATTCAACATTTCGGGATATGAAAAGACGAAGCCGTATAATTAGTGATTCAATTAAATCTAATTATGTTGTGCCAGCAGCCTAATGAACATGTAGTTGGTATATAAATGATTTGTCAATAATAATGTATTCAGAATGTTGTGGAGATACTTGTTAGACTGTCTTGTTATTATGCAAAACATGTTTATATAAAGCAGGATATGGAATCGAAAGTTATCGATCATGCAACAAGCGGGAATAAGAGGAGATATAATTTATGTATATTATGCACAATTTACTACATGTCATGGTGCAATTACAATATCATGTTTGAATAATAACATTACATTTCACGTAAACGATTCGGGCGATTTAGTATATGCATATTTAATTTAGTAGTTGTCTCATCTATCTAACATGAAAACAAGGCACACGTCCGCGGCTCTAGATTATTATCGGACTACAGGACATTTACTTTTCCACGCGTATTCCTTGAACTGTCACTGATTTCGAAAATCGCATCATTTCGTCGACAAGCTGGTGGGATATATCATTTAGTAACACCGATACAATGTGAATTTTGTAAACACCGCATTCAGGAACTCGTGACGTCAGTAGTGTAGTATTACGTTAACGGGGGAAATCGTTCTTCACAACAAGACGCCACGCTCTGATAATAACATGATCAACCCGTATTATAAATTCTTACAATACCCTTATCTGTCCTTCAATCGCAGAATCGAAATAACCGTTACGCAAATGTCAAGTGTTCAGTTGTTAATTTCAGTACTGAATATAATAAACCGTAGTCACATTGGAGCAGGTTGACATAAGAGAAGTGTATTATCAGCTGAAAGTGTTTAATATGTTAATGATATGCAGACATGATATTTTAAAGCAAGCATAAACTTTTACAATGTGTTTTACATGTTTGTGCGTAATACCAAATAATGGGAAACAAATGTTAAAACAATACATTTGACTGTATCGATAGTTTTGTTACCTCTAATTATCCCTAACGGACCTACATTATGTTTAGAAATAACACTAGAAGCTCATACGCTTTAAAAACGTGAGCTGTGAGTTTTTTTTTTATTTCAAACTCAGATTTAATTAGACGTAATATAGTTGACAATGTAGAATAATGTTCATATAAACTATTTGACGACCATATCTCTTTGTCCTTTGTGGGATATAATTTGAGTTTTATGTTATATTCAGATATCAGCTGAACACGTGTGTCATGTTAAATTTGTTTCAATCAGCTAGGCATCGGGGAGTGAATATAGTGTTAGCTCCAAAAATAGCTATATTTCTAATTAAATAGAGTAAAGTTCATAAACGGCGGTCTTCCCACAAATGTGCTCGGATGCTGTACGAAATATTTAATACACTCTCACGAATTGCGATCAGTGTTCTAGTTTACCGTCCCTTGAGGCTGCATAAGGAATATTTATGATAGATAGAATGTCACATTAGTCACTCTATATTATCAGATTCATTAAAGAAGTTCGGATGAGGTTCTGATTAAATGAAAATTACTACAAACATTTAATTACTGTGACAGTATAAAATCACTCATGAGATATCACACATACATATATATATATATATATATATTAAAAGAATAAATGTGGCTAGTATAGGAAGATATACGACTCATGTGTATTTGTATGTTTGGTAGTCATTTGTATTGTCATTATCAAATATGTATGAATATCTAACCATGCCTATGAACATGAACAGTCACTAACATTTCCCAGTATCTACAACATAATGGTATCTACAATATGTAGTGCACAACGACACATGGGTCTGACATCGCGGTATGCACTAACTTGACCTGTCATTGTGTCTCCATTAAATCAGATTATCGACTCCAGAAAATGGCAACATTGTATTATAGGATATTGGTATCCCCATTAAACACGCCGTAACTAAATACAATGTAGTTCCATTTATATAAATAATAAATCCTGTTCAACAAACATCGTTTAACCATTACCCGAATCCCCGAGACGCTTAGCTGACAATATTGGATTACAGACTAGATTATTAATTCAGAAGTATACCTGATTGAATTGGGACAAACTTTCTATCTGTATACACATATTTTATGAAGACCAATTAGTTTCAATTTAAATGAATCAGTAAATCACAACAACCGGTCGAATCGGCAGGAATAAATATTCATCAAAAAGGAAAAGGTGTGGTTGGTAAATGATCGGTTTTGGGAGTAGTAAAATAAATCACAGTGGTAATCGTAATAACGAGGGACGTAATTATTCTTGTTTTAATGGCACGTTTACGGGTGTAAATTAAAGGTCACATTGTACCTACATTTGTATTTACCAATGTATAACCCTGGGATGATTAATATTGTACATAAATGCTGGATGATGTTTATATTACTTACATCTATAACAACATAATGTGAGTCTGAAGGCATTAATCACGTGACCTGGTATACAACGCTATGCCTTAAGGTGCTACTCATGGAATATGTGCACGATTGGAGCCAGTGCGAACCTACTTACAAGATTGTGTCTGATTGACTCAAACCGAACAGTCAGATCAATCAGAGTGCAGCCTGTTTGTCGATAGTTTTTTTTTTTTTTTTTTTGAGGTAATAAATTCTTCCCTGCATATATACTTCGACTCAATTGGACAGGCGATGTAAATTTCGTAGTGCAAATAATAGAGTTGATGAGACCGCTTCTGATTAACGAGGCGTTTTTATGCCAGGATGACAAATAGCTGCAAAAATCAGTGGTTGTGCCAAGACCACGTGCAAATGATAACCTTAGTTTCACGCAAACGCTTAATTGGTCTTAAAATGAACAAACAAACCCGTGGCAATATTGTACTAGTATTATACCTGTCACTAAGAACGCTTTTATTTACATATCTAAAAAAATACACTATACGTAATTCTTGATTGGATGTTAGGTCATTGATGTAGAACACGTAGTACTGTAGCTCACATACAACCCTGACTTATTATTGGTTAGTTTACCAACGGAAAAATAATATACACGTAATCATTACCGTACTTTTGAAGTAAAATCTGTGACAGCCGTTTGCTTTCCGAGAAATGATCGGGTGGATTTTCATTAAACCGTTACGTTACAGTGACGACATGGTCGAACCTGCAAATTTCTCGTATTACGTAATGTGCATCGCACGAGCTCCAATATCTAGCTCAACATATTCCTGGTTTTCTGGCAAAATACTAGATGGATTTAAATCAATTCAATGCACATATCACTAGAATACCCACATTAACAAATGATGGAGACGAGTATAATAATAGAACATTAGTTTTGTTGTCGACATAAATACTGGCCACTAGCGTTACTACATAGTGATCACCATCATGGGCGGATTTAGAGGGGGCCGAGGGGGCCGCATCCAATCAACAGGGCTTCGCGTCATCGGCGCTCGCGAACTTGGCCTTCGGCCAACTTATCGCCCCCCCCCCATTCCAGAATCCTAGATCCGCCCCTGACCATTGACGGTCGTATTTCAAAATCTGGTTAAATATATGACGTGTTGTGGATATAATACCCAAACATGTTTGCTCCTCATTAACATTGGAGAGCGGCGTCATCAGAGTTAAGCCAATCATAAACAAA